CGTTTTACTGAAAAACAACTAAAACATTGAAAAAGATACCTGGTATATAAACAAATGACCCAAAATATTGATTTCAGCAGTAATTTGGAAGAAATTCGCACACATTCCTTGTTCCAGGTGATAAGGCCTTTGCAAGGTTTATGAACCACCTACGTCACATTTAGTTTTAACACGACAGTCGACTGATGATACACTCAATTATGATACTCAGATACTAACCTTTCACAATCTTTCTGCTGCAGTGGAGGCCTATATGCACATTATAGCATCATTAAGCTTCCGGGACACAAGCAATGTCAGCTTCTGTAAAAACGAAAGCCTTGTTTTTCACCAAGTTGTTTTGCGGGAGATAACTAATTATGGAGACCACAGCTGAAAGGTTGCTTCACTGCCACATAAAGATAAAACAAATGGAAATGCACAAAATGCATGACAACACATTAATAATGTTTGTGGTTCTCTGTGGCAGCCTGTCCAAGGAGACGTTTATATCGCATTGAAACAAAAATAATGCAGACATAATGGGACGAACATAACAAGGCTATGTATTCATAGCATTGCATTGTGGGTAAAGGTGCACCCTTGTTCAGCAAATGAACATTGATTACTTACCAACCCTGGTTTCTCACCACACGCTGCATGCATGGTTACATCTTGAAAAAATTACACAATCAACGTGATTTGAAGCTCTTGTGAGAAGTTCTCAGACTGTCGTGTTCAATAGGGATGATATGGTCAAATGAGGGAGCTGATGAAGAATTGATTAAGTTTAAAAGGTGAGACTGATATTGTATTATTGGAACGCTATGATCACTGCCGCCTGTTTTTCGAGACGCCTGCGCCCCCGGGGAGCTGATGTTCCCTGTGCTGTAATGGTTTCCAAACAAGGTTCATTTCATCAGGGCAAGGAACATTAAATATATGACAGCCGTAATGTAGCAAATCTGAAAGCTGTGGTGCTTTATATAAGGTTTAAGTTGCAATTTCCGTTACGCAAGTGGCTGCAAATTGTAGTTTACTCATTTGTGTCAACATGAAATCAAAATTGATTCTGTTTACTATTGTTTGTTGTTCAGTTGAACATTACTCTTGAGTTAAATAATGGTAGTTGTTGCAATCGTTCATCAAAACGTCCTGCTACATTATCTCTTACTTTTTAACCGCCACATGGAAAAAGCTATTCGTTAGCATTCCCATTCATCGCAAACGGTAGTTGAGCTGGTAACATAACTAGAAAATGTTATAGAGAATAAAATTAAAAAGAGAAAGAAAAAGCAGAACCAAGCACCAAATTATTGGTATCGGCGCTGACAGATTTTGTCAAAACTATTGCAACGGCGCACCAATTCTGTATGTGTGCTGTATGTTTACACAAACTTCCTTCTCCATCTTCATCTGTCTAAAACATCCGTATCTAACGATGCCCCAGCCGAGATTTCAGCAGCTCTGAAAAAGCTTGGTGTCTATGAGCCACTGGCAGGATTAATTTCTCAGGTCATCACTTACAGCGCGAGACGCTCGCAAGAAAGCTCCAGGCAAGGACAGAGTAAACTCCAGGGAGACATGGAGAGAGAGAGTGTGAAAGAGAGATAGAGTGGGTGAGATGTCGAAATGTGCGAGTGTGTGTTTGTGTGAAACCATAAGCTGCTCTCCATCACACTAAAGACCAAGGGAAAATTGAAGAGGTCATCGGTCCAGACCCGCAGTCAGCCAGAATTCTTCAACGGTGACGCCATGCTAGAACCATCCAATTCGTCATCTTTCGGCTAATTGCACAGAAATGCATCTTTATTTACCCAAGTAGGACGTGATCCTAAAAAAAGAGCCAGAAAACCATAGCTAAAATTACAGAGTACAGAGAGATGTTAGGTTAATAAGAACATTTTAACATTTTCTGAAGAACAAGTTCTTGCAAATGCAAAACCCATCATCAAAATGCTAAAACTGGCAGTCAGGGTGTTGCTATTTGGACGCTAGGATGTTCAGGGTGGTTGTTAGGTGCAGCCCAATCTATGATATTCTCGCCCCTAGATATGGGTCGGGTCCCTCTTTCAATGCAAGTCAATGAGATTTTTTTTTGGCCTTTCTAGGTCACATAAAAAAGTAAAAGCATGTATCCTCGCAATTTGTCATTCATTCCTGTAGTTAAAATGTTGGTCTATTTCTTTTCAGTAATATATGTTAGTACACTAGAGTTACATATCTGTTGCCATTAAACCGAGTATTCAAGTAGCTATACTTATTTATTTACACATAACTAGCTCAGCAGAGATTCTCTTAAAACTATTGCTCTTCCAACAGTAGTTGACCTCGAGGAACAAACTGACCAAAGAAGTAATCAGTTTACACCAATGTCCACATTTGCGGTAACTTGCAAAGCATAGTGAATTGCACTCGATTTTGGAATTCCATAATGTAAAATTGAATCTGAATAGATAAAAGCAGATTTTTACATACTTGCATAGAGTTTGTTTCTGGTCTTATGCACCAAAGTTGATATTTCGGTTTAGTTGTGTAAATCACATTAAGCACACCCTCACAGGTCAATGCTAGCTCAAGGATTGGCACTATGATGTGAATATTATGCAAATCTACAGGGTCCCACCTTGTTTTTGACCTTAAAATTTGGAATGGACAAGTGTCATCAGTGGGGAATCTCTGGGGCATCAGTGGTCTCCTCTGTGCTGTCAATCTCTGATCGTACCGGCTGCCCTTTTTGCCCTTATGTATTCATTTTGCCTGTCCTGAAGGCGTAAAAATGAAAAAGAGAAATGAGAAGAATAAAGTGACAGATTAATTTATTGACCAGGCATCCTCCTCTCGGCTCACACCTCTCCGTCTATCGCCGCCCCAGGTGTCGTTGTTGCCAGCCGCGTGATGGTCTGACGCCAAGTGACTGAGAGGTGATGCACGGGCAGAAATTGAGAGCGATGGTCATTCATCACGCAGGGGTAAAAACCAGCACCTCTTTCCCCGTGAGACAGCAGCAGGTGATGGGGGGAAAAAACAAGCTGAGCTTTTTTACGTTGTCTGGCCCATATATCCCATAATGCCGTTGGCTTTGTTAACATCAGCCGTGCAGGGGAGAGTCGGGTCATCTTTATCTCAGAGTGTTCCTGTATCCTGTTTTGGAACATCTTTATTATGACGGTGTTCTCCATCTCGACCTCACGTATATATCATGCCCTTGTCTTTCTGCTGCTTTAGGTTGATGTAAAGGGTCTTGCGGTTACCACATGGACCATGGTTTGATGGACAGTATCTGTTTAATGCAGGAAAAGAATGATATATCATTCTACCAAGCTTTTAAATAATGTTTATATGTTTGACAGGTAATGCACACTGGGATTGACTGTTGCCAGTCTTCTACTGCCAAATGGGAAATAAATTCTATTTGGATTAAAAGAACGGTTCACTAAAAAAAAGGAAAATTGTCATTTACTCACCTTCATTTGAGAGGGTCCAAAAAACACCCGAGGTATCAATAAATGGTCCATACTCATACTCTTCCAAGTCTTCAGAAGACATTTAATACAATAACTTTGTTTGAGGAACAAATCAGAATTTGAAGTCGCGATGTATAGAAAGATAATTTCTTAAGTCGTGACACAATACGAGTGAAACAGATTATTGACAAAAAAAAAATAGGATTTGGTTACATCTATCAGTTGTTGATTGGGTTTCACTTTATTTGGATGGTCCCTTTAACACATTCTGTTGACTATAACTAAGTAACATTGCACCTACACTAACTAGTAGAGTATTAGTAGACTGGTAGGGTTAGGGATAGAATAAGTTGACATGTAGTTGCGTAGTTACTTATAGTCAGTAAAATGTCTGTTGGGGAGCATCACAATAAAGAGTTGGCAGATAGCAGACGATCTACTAATACTCTACTCTGAGTTATTGACATGTAGTTGCAAAGTTACTTTAGTCAAGAGAATGTTTAAAAGGGACCGTTGATTGGATGGAAGAGCTTGATCTGAGAGTTAAGAGTTAATCGAATGCAAACTTGCAATCCATTGTATGAAAGTAACAAGGTTTGAGGACAAAATTATTGGAGAGGTCCAGAGACTTCCAGTCATTTCACAGGAAGAGTTGACATTTTGATTAAAAAAAAAAAGTATGTGGACAAAAAAAATCGGTAACATACTGTATCAGTGACATGCATTTAGAAAATCAATTCCAAATCTTATTTGATTTTGGCATTTTCAAACCAAACCAGTTTTAACCACCATTAAAATGACTGCATTAACAATTTATAAGATTTAACTGTAGCCTAAAACAATATGATATTTTACATACAATTGGAAATTAGATAATTAGCCTGTGCTGGATTGGTTATATGAGCTAAATGGAAGTTATTGAAGTTTGATGAACGATAATGAAGACAATCTTAAGAACAAGCACTAATGCATCATCCACACTAAGATCATGCGCCAAATTTTCTGTACATTACAGAATTTTAAAATATTACATTGTTATGTTGTATTTTATCTAAGTGCACATCTAAACCTATACTGTATCTTTGAATAATGTGCATTATTAAAAGTCACATTAATAAGTCAAGGCGGAACAAGGCCGCAACTTTCGTATCTCGCATTAAGCCTCATTGATGAAACACGAGCAAAAATCATTTCTGCGTGAATAATTCGTAAAATTCATTATTACATAATGCACCGATTTATGTGTGAATGGTTTTACAGAGGATATATGGATAAATTTGTTCTGCTTGTATTTTATTAATGAGGTCCAATGAGTTGCCGCATTACTCCCACAAGCATACAGAATCTGATAACAAGGTAACTAGTTCTTTTCATTGCAAGATTTAAAAAACATGATGAAAGAAAGGACTGTGCCTAGCTCTAGGTTCAAAGATTTCATTTTTGAGCAGCGGGTCTAGCAAAAGATGCCGAGATGTAGCAGGCGAACAGACAAGAGGCAAAAAGTTTGACATCCGCTTCTTCCGAGTTTCAATCAAGACGTGTGGCTGTAAGCAGGAGAGAGAACGAAAGAGGGTGAGTGAGTGAAAGATACCTAACCTGGCCAAGTCATGATGGATGAGTCCAATTGCTCCCCCTCATCAATCAGCAAATGCTGCAGCACTGTAAAAAAAAAAAAAAAAAAGACCGAAATGAAAGGGTGGGATTGGGTATCAACGGAGAACAGGGAGGATGTGGTGAATGGGAATTTTATGGGATCCATATTTGAATCTTCACACCCTGATTGCTTCTTTTCTCTCACAAACACACACACACACACATTTGATTTCCATTGCTATGTTCGGAAATGCATACTACTCTTACTCTTTCTGCAGGATAATATGTATACTGTGCAGAGTATGCACATTTGGTAAAAAGGTATACAACAGAACACACTGTATGGAATGTTGTTTCTCTAAATGCAATGTGCTTGACTTAATGTTTCAAAGATTTTAGGACATTTTGTTAAAATAACCATAAAACTTGACACCATTCACACACATATACAGTATATATAAATTTAAATTATATAGATATGGTATGCAATTGTAAGGTAGTATTCCATTCAAAACATAGCACCTCACAAACATTTTTTCATTGCTATTTTCTAAATAGTAAATTACCATACTACTTGTACTGTTTCTCCGGTCTGGATATTTCTGAATGCATAAAATATCCTGCTTGACAAATGCCCAATATACAAACATACAACAGAGGACACTGTTGCATATTGTGCAGTGTTTTTTGTGCACTGTTTATATATATATTACAGTATTAGGCAGTACACACAGAATATACTCCACAGTATTCAGTGAGTAGCAATCTAGTATTCATTCTGAACACAGATGATACAAGCATCTTGTAAACTGAAACAATTTCTTTCATTCGGCTCAATTGTAGTTTACAAGGCTGTAAAATCTTATATTATTTAGCTAAAGGACTATATCATAAAATGTATATCCTTTATGTATCACCTTTATTAAAATTAATAAATTTAGTGATTTAAATTGTACTGTCATGGCCCATCGCAAGATGATCCCTTTTCAAGCCATTTCGCAGGAAGGTCACTTTGCACGGTGCATCCGCTCAATATCAATAAAAAAGAAGCTCAATATATTTTCTACATGTGAAACCGTCATCCAGTAAATGGTAAAAGAGAAAATGGACCTTGCCACAAAATGGTAGCCCTTAAAGGTGAAGTTCATATGAAATCAATGTGGGCCGTGAACATGAACAGATAGGAACACACAAATCAACATGTTTATACCGGCCCTGAGTGAGTGAGTGGCTGAATCCAGCAGCCAAAGAGATGGCATCTTGCACTGTATCATGCTATAAATAAGGCTGATGTAAAATTAGAAGGTATATGCAGTATATATTTTAATACTTTGTTTCTCCCACCGCAAAACCGTTACTGTTCAGTTGATTTTACAGACCCATTTGAGCAAAATGCAGCATAAAAAAACGAGTTTAAAGAGTTTAAAATTTTCAATTCCATCATCTTCTACTCACCCTCATTTCAAACAGATGCTGCACCATTTGCCACTAGGCATGATATCCTGGGAATATATTGACAAAAACTGCACGTCAATCTTTATTTACCATTATTTTGAAAGAGTTATTCACATGACACATCACAAGCTAAATGATACAATAACAGTGATACCAAGATTATCAGATAAGTACCATGGTGTTAAATGATTGATTAATAATAACGGTGTAGTAAATGCCAACGAAATTGTGTAGGCTACTGAAAAGAGTCTGTTAGCTAACGTTATGTGTTTTTGTGAAGAAGATGTGTTACCTGAGATGTGCAGTAACGACCTTCTTTGTCGACGACAGGATGGATTTAACGTTACATGTTTAGGGTCAATGGTAGGTAAATATCCACCTCTTTTCATTTACTGAGTTATTGCAAACTATATCTTTCACTGAGGGAAAAACGCGCCAAACGAATCAATGTGTGAGGATCGTTCCAAATGATTCAGTGCTTGAGTGTGCTGTCCGAATCATTGAATCGCAAAAAACGATTCAGACCATATGATTCAGACAGGCTCCCAAACAGGTTTCACTGATTCATTGCATTTTATTTAAATATGAATCAAACCGTCCGTACGAGTTACAAATCATCCGACTCATTAAGTTTATCCCGATCCAGACCGTTTTGCTTGAAAAATCACAAATAACTCCAAATGATTCAGTGCGTGAGTTAGCATTCAAACCGTTTTCCTTTGACAGATTATTTTATCAGAGCTCAAAAAGAGAAATTTATTTACGAATTGGTCATCCGTTTCGATTCTGAAAAGCTGAGAGGAAATGGATATTGCGCGGCAAAATGTTGGTTTGTAAACTGCAATCTTCAGACAAGGATTTATCAGTATTTTATTCGTGATACTGGTGACAGCCAACATACAACATGGCGGGGACTCTGAAATCATCTTTTCAAGTTGATCGACAAGATGATGGTGAGTAAATGTTTTTTGTTTGTTTGTTTGTTTTTGTTTTTTAAATAAACTAACTCTTACTCTGATAATTGGAGAGGTAAGAACATTTCAGAGCATTTTGAGAGTTTGAATAAAGCCGCATGAGGTGTTTGACTGGTTCTTGGTGGTGAGGACTGTAAGCATAACGTCCAAACAGGCTGTTTTGTGAAATAGGCCTGCAGCCATGAGCTCTGTCCCAAAGCTTGTTGCGGCAGGTGTCCGTGTGATTGATTGCATTGTTCTGTCCACATTTGTCCGATAATAGCAGTGCACTTGCTTGAGGGAAAAAGTTAAAAATATAAAGTTTGATTCCGGACTAGGCTATTGAAGGCGTCACCTTGAGATTTTGATAAGCTTTCTCTCGTGCATTGGGTAAATAAAATAATGTCCCATCTGCAACTGGTCGAATTATCCTTGTCAGTAGAACCCTGCTGGCGTGAGGCCAAAATATTACATTTAATACATGCCTTTTTGGGGCTAAATGTTTACTTGTACTTTTTTCGGTTGATGTTTTATTTAAAAGAAAAAAAAATGTTTCACATTAACTCACACTTAATGATCTAACAGTATATTAGGCTAAAAAAATCTAATTGGGAAAATGCATATAATTAAAATTTAAGAAAGAAAAAATACATGTATGGAATGTGTTTAAAATCTTTGCTCATTGACTGTAGAAAGTGATCTTGTATAATACTGCTAATTGCTACAATACTGCTAGCTTTAGCTATATTAGCAACCAATACCACTGAGTTTCTGCGGTTCTTAGCGATTCAGGCCCTGTCCCATGGAACCTTAAGCCCTTGCGATCTTCTTCGAGTCCAAATTTTCGCTTTGACAATCGGGGAGAAGTCTGCTGCCACTGCGAGAGCTTTTTTCCCTCACAAAACTGCGCATTGAGGGCGCATGTGAGCCACAACGGGGGCACTCGCAATCACCCTGAAACCTAAATGACTATTGGGACACCCTACGGTCTTGTGCATGTAGCGGTTATTGTTAATGAGACCATATGACGGGTGTGCCCTCCATGTGCACTTTTGTGAGGGGAAAAAAATCTCTGCAACAGACATCTGAAAGCGACTAGGGCCCCAGTCGCTTTCAGATGTCTGTTGCAGAGATTTTTTTTCCCAAATGGCATGCTTCACATATGAAGCTTTCAGTGTTCGTGTCCAGGAAGTTGCCAGCTTATGCAACATGTGAGGTAAGTTATAACTTCCGCATGGCTGATGCAACCAGCCCCAAGGTCAAAAAGGTGGAAAAAGGAGTACCTCATCTTCAAAAAGCTTACTTCTCTTCATGGCCCAGCGTTATAACTCTCTTCAAAACATAAAGCGATTCAACCGTTGGGTTAAACGAGAAGTGTTTTGGAAAGGCACTGAGTCTGTCTAGCAGTGTTTACACATCATAGATAGCCTAATAAAGGATTGGTCTCAGTTCGTCAGAGCTAGATGAGGTTTATACTGCCCAGTCCTTCAGATTCTACTCACTTTCACTGTCCGCGATCACTTACAGTTATTTATGAGCGTGTCTCTATTCAACCTCTTATAAAGTGACACAAGCCATAAATTGGTACTGTATTTGTAGCTACGGAAAAAGGTTTGTGGATGCCTGTCATGGAGATTAATTTATTTTATCGGCCCCAAAGGAGGGTTCAAATTAGTTTGGTTTGGGGGGCTAGATTGTCATGCAGTCTGTGCCAATGTTAAGCCTATTTTATATATATATATATATATATATATATATATATATATATATACAGATTTTTTTTTACATAAATATTTTCAACATTGATGCATAATAAACGTTTCTTGAGCAGCAAATCAGCATTTAGAATGATTTCTGAAGGATCCAGTGATGGTAAGACGGGAGTTTTGCATCACAGGAATTAATTACATTTTAAAATATATTAAAGTAGAAAACAGTTAGGCTATTTTAAATTGTAATACTTTTTGTAATTACTTACTTACTTGTAATTACTTTTGTAATCAGACACGTGACTGTGAGCATAAGAGACTTCTTTTAAAAACAAATCTTACCAATCCCAAACTTTTTAACTGCAGAGTATATGCAAACATGTTTCTGCTTTGCATACATTAAAATTCAAAAATGTTAGGCTATTTTGAGATCCTATTTGGATTAGAAAAAAAATATACAATTCAGTAAATCGTGTCACTCGGTCGCTCCCAAATGTCAATTGTTCGATGTCAACTTTGTTACACTTGACTGCTCAGGTAATTGCTTTATCAAAAGAAAAAGTGAGCCGACACTGAATTCTTGAGTTTTGGGATGGTGACAGCAAGGAAAAGAGGGAAAGTAAGGGCAAACCAACAGGGATATACATAAGGAGGTAGTAGACAGCACTAAGAATACCCCATGTGATAAACCATCAAAAAAAGAATAGTCACAATTGAAAAGCTGTTTCATGTGTCTTATCAGAAACACACCTGCGTCAGTGACAACTGTGTGACAGCACCGCGGTGATAAATGAGTGTATTTAAATAGCAAATGAGCGATGAGACAAACACATGAAGGTCACTGGCTTACGTCTAAGGCTGAACCCTGTTACCCCCATTATAATTGCTTCTCTCAGCTAACGTTTCACATGAATATTAAACGGTATTTAACATAGACACACCCCCGCCCCTCCCAAAATAAATTTAGTAGCTTTCTTATCTCGACGTCGTTTTACATTGAGATGATTTTCCCTTTGCATTGAGCAACAATGCATGAAGATAAATGAAACTCACAAAAGCATGTCACCTTCAAATCAAAAGGAAATATATGCAAGACAATATTTTGTATGAATAGCATTTCTATTTTTATTTTTCTGGTATTGTAATAAGCACATTGGCGATTCTTATTGCTGTGATACTGTAATTTTTAATGTATTATATAAATAGAAATACTTAAATATAATTTATAAGTTATTTTTTTTTACATTCCTATACTGAGAACTCGGAGGAAAACATTTAAAGCTAAATATATAAATATATATATATCTCGAAAATAAGTGGAGGATTCATTTTAATGGCATCCCGAATCGCGTTAAAGGATTTGTTCGCAGCATTTCATTTTGTAAACGAGGCACATTGTAATGGAGAGTTCGCAAAGCAACTTTTGTTGAAAAGATGAAGCAGCCAACTGTATTGAATCTGACAGCAGCTGCATCACAAACAGTAAGTAAATTGTTTTATAATGCTTTCATAATCATTTCAGACAAAGGGTTAGAATGAAGGTTGAAAATAATCTCTTTTTTTTCTCGAGCCTGTTTGTTTTTTTGTGTGTGCAAAAAACTTTAACATTTTAAGTGAACCTCAAGGCACACTAATTGCTTTTCTGTCCCTGTGTGAAGTTGACTTTTTCAAATGTCCAAGAAAGCAGTGTTAGTTGCGTGAATCCTTTATTTTTTTTGTAATGCTACTGTCAGATAGATGCATAAACTTGTTCAAGGACCGCTTCAGAGAAACATCACCTGTGTATTCATTGTATTCAATGAAAGTTTTTCATGGAACACAACACGACGCAGCCATTATTTGCACGTCAGGGTCAAGATCTCAACTCGGAAGCCATTGATGGAAAATATAAGATAGCAAAGTTGCTTTTTAGTATGTTCACATCAGTATTAGACCCAGACAGAAAACCTGTTTGATTTCTGCCACGCTCTAGAATATAAAACTCAGCTCAGGATGTACAGACAAGCTTGGAGAGAAAAGGAAGGCAAAAACCTTAGAAATACGCCAATGTACTGTAGCTGCCTTGACCAGGCCTTCGTTAAAACTGCAACACGTTCCAGCAGTAACACAGATGGACAGGCAGAAAGGGTGCAGGGAAGATAACATTGTTGGAACATCTGATATTCTGTGGGGAATTCTGAATAAAACAACATACAGTAACACAAAGACCACCAACAAGCTAACAACAAGCAAAAAAGATAGACTACACCCAAAGAGGCAAAAGAAATTTCAGCTAATGCCAAGTTTGTGTCTCTGATTTTTGTTGACATTTTTGTTATCTGATGGTCTTTAAAAACTTGTCTTGTCTTGAAAAGTCCACAAACTTTATATTGGATTCGTAATCATTCACTTTCTGCTACGTTTCAAAGTGGGACTTCTTTTTAACCACCTGGAAAGAACTGGATCGTGAAATTTGGGCATTATAAGGACTTGGTAAAGTCATTCGAAAACTAAAGTCATTTTTGACATGGTCATGTTGTAATGGAAAATTGCATTGTTTTTCTGTCTTCCTAATAATCTGTGCTGAAATCGTTCACAATAAGGCCAGAAAAGGTTTAAGTAAATGGCTTATTTGCATGTTGTCTTTAAATCAAAAGATAAAGCAGAGCTAACGTTTTACTTGAGCTCAACTTTACTTTTTTAAGGGGCAATTTATATGCATTTGAAGCATTCAAG